AGTCTGTACTTGTCAAACATGGCATCTTACATCATGAAACTGTTCTTACACTGTTGTTTTATAACCTGTTCAAAACACTGACATGAGTCCACTATCAGATAAGATCATTAGTAATCTTCACTAAAGCTGTTTCTGTGCTGTGATGAAACCTGACTGAAACTCTTCAAATAAACCATTCCTCCACAGATGATCTGTTAGCTGTTTGACAACTACTCTTTCAAGGATGTTTGATATGAAAGGAAGGTTGGAGATTGGGCTAAAATTAGCTAAGACTGCTGGGGTTAAAGGTTTAACTACAGCCAGCTTGAAGGCCTGTGGTACATAGCTGATTATTAGAGATAGGTTGATCATATTTAAGATTGAAGAATTAATTAATGGCAGGTTTTCTTGGCAGTCTGACATAAAGGGTAGTAACCGGACCGAAAGGCAGCGTACATTTCGGTGCTTTTTTTCAGTAGTGATATGCAGATTGATCCTGAAATATCGATTCCTCCGATACCAGTCATTTATGTTCTAGAATCGATTCTCACATTAAAATATCGATATTTTAGTAATTTAGGGTAAATTTGTAGTTTATCATTAACAGGAACACAGTGGAAAGAAACTATAACATTTGGATTGTCTGCATTCAAAGGAACTACTTCCTCTTACGCCTTTCATAGTCATGTGCGAAATACGGCTGTATAAATGTCTCGCAGCGCCTTGGCGTGCGCACTCACAACAATGGTTGAGCGTAATTGTGTGAACGTATTTTACCTCCACAAACAGCTGAGACGTGGTTTGCGATACATGTGGCAAAAAAGTGCTCCAAGAGTGAGGTGTTGTGGCCATACTAGGGAGACATTCAAAAGGGCTGGTGTGTGTGTGTGGGGGGGGGTGATAAATACATTTTACAGTGTTTATTTATCGGGTAAAATAAGTTAAATGTTACCGTTATTATTGGCCGGCCCGGAAACAGCGGGGGTGTCCAAATTCAGAGGCTGCTTCCACCTGAGGACCCGGCCTTCGCGGTCTAAAGAA